AAACGGTAACCTGGTTGCCGAGTTCACGAAGTGAATTGGCTTGTTTTACAACGTCGTTGCCAGGCGACGAAAACCCAACCCCGATGGCAAACACCGGGGGTGGGTTGGAACGTGTGCGCAAGCCAGGCTGGTATGCCCCGTGTATATGTACGTCGCAATTAGAACAGAGTGCGGGTTGGTGAGCAGATGTACAAGCAGAGTCGGACGATCGTTGCTGCTCCGAGTGGGTTAAATTTTTTTCCGGTTCGTCCGGCTCATCGCGGCGGCGACTGCACCATGCGGACACCCGCTTGCGGTTTCACTTCTCCGTGCTATGCTAGGTCCTCGCACCAGCTCACGCCCTGACGGACAAACCTACGGCTGTACGTGTGCAACACAGCAGCTTCTTATCTTAGGCGTGATGCTCGCTCGGCCTTTCTTTGCAGCTCTTCCGCGTCTCCAGAGAGAGACCGACCGCCCTAGGGGAACACTGAGGTGCAGTCGGCGCTTCGCAGTTCATGAAGCCTCCTTCCCTTGACACCGCTCACGCGTAAGGCTCGAACGACACACAGCAGTAGAGGCACTTTCACGACCGCATCAGCTAAACAAGAGCCTAAGGAGAGACCGCCGTCTCTTAATCCTCCGAAGTCGCCTGCACGTACCTAGCGGCCAAGGTAAGGAGCTTCTTGTGCCCCCCATGCAACCGATCGAACGTCCCGCCGCATGCGACCTGCACCAACGATCCCAGTACCCCCCACCACACAATAAAAAAAAGCCAGCGGGACACGCGGCACACGAAACCAAGATGTGTTAGGAGCGTGAAGGCGTCCGCCGAGAAAGCAAGACGGCCGACGGGGGGGGGACAGGCGTGCGAGGAAAGGCGTCGTGTGCGTTTGTGTTGGCAAGGACAAGCAAACTGGTTGCGTGAGGTGCGGGGCGGCACGCTCTGGCGCCGCAGTCTTCCGTCGCCGTTTAGGCGGCATGGCCAGCCTTTGGCGCCAACCCACTTATGTTGCTTATCGGACACATGAACCACGAGTTGGGGGAGTTGTTGAGGTTGTCATCGCAAATTAAAAAACCGTTTCGGCCTCGGCTCAGCGGTGCTCCGAACATCCGGTCCCGGTCCAGCTAACACGGACACCTCCCGTGGTCAAATAACCCCCAAACTGGTACAGGAGCGACACAAAACGGACAGACGCTGCTTGCAGGGGCGAAGAACAACTGACGTTTGGGTTGTACGTCGCCGTTCAGACCACCGACTTCGGTCGCAACACTCCATGTTAAACAACGAAACACACACAGACAAGCCAATTGGTCAGCCGGTTAGTGCGGTCGATGCCAATAATAAAGACACCCAAACAAACACCATCTCTGCGCATCTTGCCGTGTCATGGTATGCCCCAACACACACTCACACTGGAGAACGTCGGGATGTTCGCCAGAACGTCCTCCGCGTAGAAGTACTCGGCCGTGTACGCGCCGCTCGCCACGGACTCCAGGCCCACGAACCTGAGGGCCGGGTAACCCGCCAGCAAGCGGTCCGCGTTGATCGACTCCCGGCGACCGTCGTCCGGCAGGTCATCGGAGAAGAGCACCTCCAGCTTCGGCTCCAGCACGGCCACCTCTCTCGACGCCCAACCCCTCACCAGGTCCACGGTGAACTCGCGGCCTCCTTCGAGAGGGCCGCCGCCGCCGCCGCCGCCGCCGTGGCCTTCCGGAGGGGGCCCCGGGTTGAACGTAAAGGGCGACGGCAGCGAGACTCGGTCGTCGTTCGGGAGCGCGGCGGGGGCGGTGCCGGCGCCGCTCGTGCCCGACGCCGGCAGGAGCACGCAGACGTCCAGGTCCGGGCGGTCGGCGGCGCACGCCGCGTCGTAGACCTCCTGGTAGAGGCCCGAAACGTACGCGCGGACGACGCCCGCAGGTATGTTGTCCGCGTCGCGAAGGCTGACAACTAGTTGGCGGGATACCTCTGAGGCGGTCGGGGGGGGCGGGAAGGAGGAGCCAGCCGGGAAAAGCTACGGTAAGCAAGGGGTGAACGTTGTTTGTTCGCGACAGCAAGGGTGTACTACCGACAGCTGTGGACGGTGTGAAGGAGGAAGTTTTATCGCCGTGAGTTCAGGATATTGGTGCCTGACGCTGGAGGTCGTGAAGGGTAGAAGCTTCGTGAAAACGTTGACAGAAACCCGAAATCTTCACGCTACATGTATGTCGTGCGTACGTGTGGCACCCAAAATTTAATACTCGCCTCGATTGGGCAACCAACCTCGGCAACCACAGCAAAACTGTAGCAGCACCAAATAGCAGTCTTCCCGCGGCACCAGAGCAACCAGTTTCCGTGATTGAATGGATAGATCAGGAATCAAACATAGACTGCTGCTATACGCTCACCTTTGACGGCTCGAGCAATGCAAGCGTCGTTGATCATCACTCGCGGGAACGACCCTCCGACCCGGTCATCGCGCGGGATGGCGATGTCCAGCAACCCGACGGCGAAAGCCATCGCTCTGTTATCCCCTCCGCCGCTTCCCGTCCCCCCGCCTTTCCCGCTACTGCTCCCCGCGTCGGTGGCGCCGCCGCCGCTGCCGCCGCCGTTTCGCGGTGAGCACGGCCGCGAAGAGTGATGCCCGCCATCTGCCAAAGCTTTCGCGCGTACAACCTGCTCCGGGGCGGTCAGACGTTGTACAAGCAGATACACAAACGGGCGTCAGCTTGTACATACAGCAGTACACGTGACAGCAATGCTGGCCACCTGCGCGTAAGTCGGCGTTTCCGAGTGTCTCGTTCGATATCTCCAGGAGAACGAATCACGGATTCGCCGCACAACACACGCCAACACAGACTGCCTTTGACTTCCGTTCTTCAGGAATGGCCAGGGGTTATTCTGCTATTGTCCCGTGCCAGTCGAAGGGAAAGCGAGACAACCGTCGATGCCTCCCTGGGAGTGTCTATTGACCCTTCCGTGACCGAGACAATCTGACGTTTGCTTGTTGCCTCCTCCCTGAGAACTGGCTATCGGGGAAGACACATGCTCCCAAGATCTTACGAACAATGTGTGCGCACTACAGCAGTATCGCGAAATACTACAACACCACACGCGGTACCGTGGCCAAGGACGATACCGCAACGAGGAGACACGCATGCGTGTTTGCGATCTTTCTGCAGACAAAGTAATCTGAACTGCCATCGGAACTGCCACATTCACAAAGAGATACGGGGAAAACTTGCATAGTTTGCGTAGGATCCTACGGCGGTGGATGCATGCATACATGCTGCAAGCTTGGATGCATGCATGTATACTGGATGCTTGCCGCAAAGCGACAATCAATTTTTGCAGCTTGCTGATGAAAAAATGGTCGACATCGCTTCCAAAGCACAGGGTGCATTGCACACAAACAACGCGAAGAACCGATATCAGAACAGCCTTTGGCGTACAGCTTAAGCTTCATGAATGTATCCTACACACGCACAACACCACAAGCAAGCAGTTCCAAACCGTCGAGCCCGAGAGGAGTTGCCTCGCATGGAAAAACGACTGTGTTTTAGAGAAAACTCCGCGGATTGCCGCGCTTGCTGCAGCCGCACCTTCTTGGTGAAGAAGAATAGACCGAGAATAGCAATTGCCAGCGTCGTGACGATCGACGTCTGCTGGCTAGACGTCGAAGGCATCCTTCCCTCTCCCGTGCTTCAAGCTCGCGTGGTGTACGAAGGTACACACCGGCTCTGAGAGCAGGGGGCTACACGTCCAGAACGACAGAAAAGAGGGGTGTGTGCCTGTACACGTGTCCAAATTCGCGAAGTAGCGTGCCCCTCGCTGATGTTTCTCCCCCTGCGCCGGCTGCTTGCCTGCGACATCTCCTCCTGCTGGAGCAAAGACACAGGAGATCAACCCCTGTACAGCTGTAGCAAGCGCGTCGTCATGAAGGAGATGCCTTCCGGTAGCGAGGGCTTCGACGGAGAGGCAAAGAGCAGCGTCGACGTTGCCGTCGAAGGGCTCGACGGCGGTTCGGTCTGGAAAGGGGACGCCGCCTTTCCGCGAGGAGGCGAGGCAGCCCCCGCGCACGCCACCGATGATGATGCTCTGAGAAACGGCGGTCCAACGGCAACGCGGCCGCACGAAGCAGCAGAAGCAGCAGCAGCAGCAGCAGCAGGAGCAGGAGGAGCAGCACTCGAACCACCAGCAGAAGCGGAAGCGCCCCCCGGCCTTGACGCTGCTGCTACTGCTGCTGCTGCTGCAGGAATAAGCCCAACTGCCAACGCTGCGGCTGACCCTGCAGCAGTCGGTCCGGCGGCCGCCCCCGGAGACGGAGATGCAGCTGCTGCTGCCCGTCAGCAGGACCTCGCCATGGCAGCCGCCGTGGCCTCGTCAGCCGCCACAGCGCGGGCGATGGTCCTGGACATGGACGACGACGGGGCGCAGCCGAAGCGCGTGAACCTCCAGAACTACGCCAGCCGCGACTCTGGGGCTGTGCTGCTGGAAGCGTCGCCGGCGTCCAAGGGGATGCAGAACCTGCTTCTGGACAGCAAGGACAAGTACGCGATCTCCCCCTGCGAAGACAAGCAGTGGGCCGTGCTGGGCCTCTCGGAGGACATCCTGGTGCGCAGCTTGGTGATCGGCAGCCACGAAAAGTACTCCTCGCTGCTCAAAGAGTTTCAGGTAAGGCTTTCCGGCGGCAGCGGGCTTGGGGGAAGAGAGAGGCAGGGAGGCAGGCGCGCTACATGCGTCGTAGACTATACGCGGTTGGCCGGGGGAATGGCATTGGTGGCACAATACGCGGTGTCTGTCTTGTGAGTAGATGTGTATACGTCAGGAATAGCGGCTGTGGCTATGAGTGTGTAGTGGGCAGCTGGCAGGCATCCTTTCGTAAAGCGTATGTTGATGTTGACTAAGCGGGAAATAGCGTATAACGGGAATCATCAGCGCAGTGGCACATGACCTACACGACGAGCGTCACACACGGAGGCATCTCATTGGCTGACGTTTTCTCGAGTCGCACGGAACCCTCCCCTCTCGATAGCTTTTAGTGCGTAGGCGGAGTGCACACCGCTCACCGACGGCGGTCAGTGGTGTAGGGCCCCCCAGGCGCGATTGTTTGAGTTATTATTTTCTGGGACACTCGAGCACATGAACGCGTACAAAGGCAATTCCGCTGACTCAAGGGCTATGAATAATACCAGATGAGGTGTTCAGTACGTGATGAGGTGTTGTCGCCGTGACTTGTGCCATCTATGTTTCGCGGCAACAGCAGCATGAATGCACACCCCCGCATCCACCCGAGTCGAGTCTATTGCGTTGCTCCTGCTCGCTCATGGCACTACCCTAGATACTTTCATAAATAGGTTCCCCAGGAGCACGATTATTTTCTGGGACACCCGAGCACATTTAACTCGTACTGCTGTACACATGCATTACTACAATATAATATATGATCAGATGTTGTCGCCGTGGCCGGTGTCATCTCTTTTTGACGAACTGCATTGCGTACGCGCGCCCCTCGGGATAACCACCCGAGTCGAGCATGTCGCGTTGCCCCAGCTTGCTCATGGTGCTACAACCCTCGATATTGACACCCGAACGGCCTCTCACGACACCGGAAACCCGCGCCAAAAACGCCAGGTTCTCGCCAGCCAAACCTACCCCGTTAACGAGTGGTTGGACCTGGGCACGTTTACGGCCAAGTTCGTCCAGGGAGAGCAGACGTTCGAGATCCCTCAACCGGCATTTGCGAGGTAAGTCTTTGCGGCTTCCACGTTCTTATAGTCGTGTTGCTGTGTGATTGAGAGAACAGCAGCAGCAGCGTTCGTGTGGTGTTGAGGTCGTTGTGTCGGGGCTGCGCGTTGGATGACTCTTTGCAACACACCACGACTTTCGCGGCGATTCCTCCTTGCTCCTCCCCTTTTTGTGTCGTTTATGTTGGGTGAATGAACGACGGGGCTCTAGCGCCCTTCGTATAGTGAATCTGGTGGTTGTGGCAACTACGCCATCGCCCCTTGTCCGCGTGATGATGCATGCAACCCCCCGACAAGCTTGACCCACCACCCCCACCTGCGCTCTTGTCCCAGATACCTCAAGTTCAAGTTCCTCTCCCACTACGGTGACGAGTTCTACTGCACGGTGAGTCAAGTGAAGGTGCACGGCTCCACCATGCTCGAGAGCTTCCAGCATGAGTGGCAGCAGAGCTCTGCGGAGGTCCGGGAAGTCCAAGACTTCATGATGAAGAAGGACCCCAAACCCTCTGCCGTAGCGACGGTGGGGGCGGGCGCCGGGGGCGAGGAGAGCGCTGCTGACACCACCGTCGAGGCGCTTGCCTCCGAGGGCGGCGGCGGCGCTCATGGCCCTACCGGCGCCAGCAATGTTGAGCCGGCTACTCCGGGCAGCGCGCCGAAGTCTGCGGGGGCGCAGACGGCACCGTCCGGCGACGGTGCCGTTGAACACCGACCGCACGCCGCTTCGGCCGCTACGGTAACACCGGGCGGCGGCAGCAGCAGCGGTGCTGGCGGCGCCGCCGCCGCCGCCGCCGGCCCGGGAACCGTGACGGTCGAAGACATCGTCCGTGGAGTCCCCGCCGAAATGGTGGTGCCCGCGCCGATGGCGACGTGCGTGGGGCCGACGGGAGCGGACGGGACCTGCAGGGGGGAAGTCTTGGCCCAGAAGACGGCGGTGGGGGCTGGCACTGCTGCTTCGTTGGACGCGAAGGTGCCCACCATGGGCGGGGCGGGAGTACCCGCAGAAGGATCGCCACCACAGGACGGCGGTAGAAGCGGCGAGGGGTTGCGGGCTGCTGCCGCTGACGGGGGCGCTTACAGTCGGGGCGTAACAACCGCAGGTGCTGATCACCTAGACCGCCCGATAGGGGCGGGGGAGGGGGGCCCCGGCGGAGCGGGGACAGAGGCGGCTGTGCAGCCGGCGAACGAGGAGGCGACTTCTGCCGCCGCTGCCGGTCACGGCGGCGCGAACGATGGGGCCGATAATGAGCATCTTTTGCCCAAGGATGGTGCGAGCGACGGTTCGCTTGCCGAGGGGAGACTCAAGGCAAGCGTGAGCGACGGTGCGGTGGGGGAAGGGGACGGCGTTGCAGCGGCGGTCGAGGGCCAAGAGGCGGGGGCGGGGGCGGGGG